CGATTGCTCCTGTATTTGTTCTTGATTCTCTGTGCAACGTGTTTAAATAGAAAAATCGTGAACGACCGCCGAAACATCGAGTTTCGTTTGTAAATTATTGCCTCTAGAAATTGAAAATCGTTCGAACGATGTTTCATCAGTCGTTGGATTTGTTTAATCTGTGCGTTTATGTTCCTCTTCGTCGATTTTGATTTTTATCGTAGTTCTGTCGTTTGGGAGACTGTTTGGAAAATCAATTTTGGGAATGACTGTTTTCTTTTTCGAAGCGAATTTGTGTAATAACTGTACGCTTGTTTAGATAGATTTTCAGATATTTCGTGATGATAATCGTTCGATTTTCGTTTCGTTTCATGGGATCATAAGGACAATTTTTATCCACGGAACATAAAACCCCCCAAGCTTCGGAACGAGTGAACGATTTATGGTGTTATCAGTGTGACACAATGGAAGATGGAGAGAGATGTTCCAATCTAACCGGAAATTATAGTGCTTTCGAGCACAAGTGCACTGGTGACAAAAGGACTTGCATGGTAATGGCAACAGACGAATGCAATTTGAATAATTGTTGATTTCGCGCAACGAGCGCGAGATTTAATACACATCTGATCTTGTTCTTTAAACAATTATTGTTCCTTTCTAAAATAATACCACGAAGAGAAATACGAAACAATTAGATTCTTAATACTTTACCAATTTTCTAATAATTTTAATAAAATCGAAGATCAACAATCGAGAATTACTTATAATATTATTCGGAACGACGATATTGTAATACAATAAGTTATTTCGATTAATGTAACTACTATATTAAATCATGCAACAACTTCTCTTGGAAATAACATTTCAAACAAAATTATTGAGTCACCATCACACGCAGCTTAATCATTGGAAAGCTATTTAATTGGCTTCCGATAAATGAAGTGTTGAAACTTTGTTGTAACGCCAGATATTTTTAAAAACTTTTCTTCATTTCATCTAATATCGAAATGCTAAAAAGGCAGCTAGAAAAAATTGAACGAACTAAATACTTATATTGTTATTAATTGAAACATGGAAATAAAGTTAAAAATTTTACGCACTTAATATAGTTGTTTACATGTACAATGAACACAGTTTCGTACATTAGCAAGCTACTCTATTTTTTTATTTATTCTATTTATTATAGTAATTGCGAGTATTTTAATATTCGTTGGTGTTTTTCAGGTGAAACGATTTTCTTACACGACTAGTACCGAGAATTCCACATCAAGCCCACAAACGTGGTCCACAGAGAGAAACTGTACAAGCAAATGTGAACCCGGATGCATAGTAATTGGTGAACGTACAAAATTGTATGCTTGCACCGCTTGCTGCGAGCAATCGTTCTGCAACATCGGCACCGGTGCTGCCGAACGCTTATCAACGAAAGGAGTCGATCTATTTCTAGCTCTTATATTGCAAATTATTTTAACTATTGTTGTATATCCGTCGTGACATTGTAAATAAAACGACGTCTGGCGACGTCTCTGTAAATAAAACCAGTTTACTATTTCAGTTTGTACATATTTTTCCGTGAGAAACAATGCATTCAACGAACTCACATTCTGAATCGTTTCTCGACCTTGTATTGTGTTATTGTGCCAATTACTTTTTTCTTAAGTTAAAGTGACAATCTTGAAATAAATGTGTTTCTTCATTGTACGATAAATGTGTTGTACTCATTTTAGATAAAAAAGAATGCAGAAATATATTGTAACATCTTTGAATATAGGGTATAATTTAATTAAGTATAAAAATAATATTGTATATTTAAAAATAATGCTTTGAGAAGGCAGAATTGATTGCAGAATATTTTAATTGTCTGAAAGGTTATTTTCTACTAAGTGTAAAAACAATATAGATTATTTAAAAGTAATGGTTGAGAAGAATATGAAATATTTTAATTGTCTGAAATGTTTATTAATTACTAGACTGCGGATTTTATGCATTTATGACAAAAATGAACAAATCAAAAACATAGCAGTGTAAACATTTGAAGAATTAGAAAACATTGTCCTACTATTTTCAACTCACTACAATTGTTAAGATACAAAATTAATGTCTACGTACTTCTAGCAACGTACGATAAATGCGAACAGTTATTATTTTGCATTAAAATCCGCAGTCTATTAATTTGGAGATTTCCAATTAATATATCTTTCAATTAAGTATAGAGACAATACAAAATGTTAAGAAACAATGCTTTGAAAAAGTAGAATGTAGAATATTTCAACTGTCGGAATGATTTATTAATTTCTATTTGGAGATTTTAAATTAATATATATTTCTATTAAGTATAAAAGTAATATAGTTTATTTGAAAGTAATGGTTTAAATAGATAAAATATAGAATATTTTAGTTCTTTGAAAGATTTTTTAATTCCTAATTGGAAACAACCAATAAAAATGTGTTGCAATTCATAGGGAAAATAGGATGATTTGTAATAGGATCGTATCTGTGAGGACGTCGGAACTAATTCTATTATACTTTGTTTTCGTATCAAGTATACAAATTCACGTAATTGTATCATTTGCGCTGTAAGTTCACCTACAGCTGCGACCAATTAATATAGTTACACAACCTAAATGGGAGCATTCAGTTGAAAGTCCAGCATTCTGATTATCCTCCTGGAAATCAGTACCTTATCTTTTTCTTGGAAGTGAACGCCTCAACTTAGTTCTCATCAGATTTATTTGTTACATGTTATTTTCATTAAGCACGACATAAACTAAATTATTATAAATTTTAATTTTTACAAATTAATTGTTTTTATAGACTTCTTTAATAGATTAATTACAAATTAACTTTTCGTATGGATACAAACTTCTTCGTTATTTGTTTTACCAGGAATGAAGCGACATGATCTTTTTGCGTCAACATTAAACAAAAATTAAAGTATTATATTAACTTATTAATATGCTTAATAATATACTTATATTACCACAGGATAATTTGGTTTGCTTTATACCAAAAACAAAATTGAATTTATTCAAATTTCGTATGATTTTTATTATAATATGTGCTTGGATAAAGAAGTTTGTTAAACAATTTCTTATAACAACATTTTTATAACTGTAATAACTTTACAAGAAGTAATTGGCATCAATTAATTTTGATGCACCCAGTAGTTCTAGCCATAATCAGTGTACATTGCAGCGTTCCTCAACTTATGGGCTACATTAACTTTTTAGTGAGCTGCGAAATGATAGCTTTTACTTTACGCAGTAATGAAGAAACCGATTAAGCACTATTTCGTATTATTTTGCGTTACTTATCTTCGTGTTACGTACGTAAAAGTTTTTAATAATAAATAAACTGTATCTATTGATTTTTATAATTTTACAATTACAACAAGACTTCAATTGAAGTGTTTATTATAAATTTTCATTCACATATAAAAAGAATTATTGTTAAACATGCATAATC